TTTAAGTCAATCCAAACGGGCTCTAAAACTAGAAAAGAAAAAGTAGGGAAATAAGTACATATGGGTCCCACAGTATACATGTGGCAGCCATATGAGGCCTCACACGACTGACAGTATGTGCCTCGCCCAGAATAAAAATTTTCCTAACGATATAATCAAAATAAATAAGTAAATAAATTTAAAGAATACTATGCTAGAAATGTATGAATGGATATAAAGCAAACGAAGCCAACAACTATTTTGATAGATATTTTGAAATAAATAAGATAAAAGATTCTGCAAATTCTTTTAGATTCATAATCAACATCGAAAAACATAATTAATTAATTCCAACAACACTTTTGATTACTGTTTTGTTGGCTAAAACTTTAAGGAAAAAAAAAAACAACTGAAGGCAAATGTGTTCCTTTGTCAACTTCTTCTCTACTGCTCCCTTTCCTACACAAATGCAACCAACAAAGAACAAAGAAAAAAGAACCTAATTTATTTTAGATCTTTCTTCAAAGTAATAGATCATAAACTTTTTTTTTAAAATTGTTAATGAAGTATATACTTACGGTCTGACAAGCATTAAAAATTGAGAAAGAGAGCATCCTTGATTTAATTTGTCGATGGTGCAAAACATGAGGTTATTGACGGCATCAATATTTGCAGTGGGTACATTATTATGTACCAAAATCTGGAATAAATGACCCTGTTGGATCAATGAAGCTCTCTTGAACTATCAACATATCGTTTTGATATGAATTTGGACTCTGCAATTAATGAGCCAGTGATTAAAATTTGCGCGCTAATTCTTTTTTTTTCAATCACACTTCAAAATAATGCCCTGTGGGCTCCCTGAATTGTTGATGCTCTGCCTAGTCATGATTCGAACATCGTTAATATTCCTGTAAAAGTTGTCCATTGGTGTGTTGTTGTTCCACTCACTCCTGAAATATACTCTAATTTATTATCATTCTTTCCCCAAGCTTCAACACTCTCTTTCTTCTCTCTTTATCTGTTGGCACTGCATAGACAATGATTATATATTATAATGTGAGTTTGAGCATTTAAAATCAAGAACTAAATTTATATTTCACATCATTGAAAAAGGGCAGTGTACTTACGTATATGATAAATTAAATGTCATTTTGGTGTGAGTTTGTGGCTTCTACACTTGCTAGTCGTTCACATTGCCTATGCAAAGTAGCAATCCAACGCTTTTCCCCGAATGCAAGGTTGGAATTCACAAAGGCCTTGTAAATGGTGTGAATTAATGTGTCATTGGCCACGATATGCTCAATCCATGTGACCTGCAACATGGTAAAATGTTGACTTATGATAATTCCAATTTATTATCTATATATATTATTTTTTATAGACAATTAATTGAAGTGCATGTTTTTTTTTATGAAAAATTTAATCGAGAACCGATTGATGCAATGTTCGAGACTCCATGAATAATCAGCTTACTTACCCCTTAAGCATTATTACACATGATATATATTGTAATTTTTTAATTACCTTTGAGATATCATTTGATATTTGTTGGATCATGCATCCTGAGGGACTTTTTCGACACTTAGTAATCGGGGTGTGATCCGGAGAAACATCAACAATTGCCCATAGTCCATCATCAATTTTCTTGCAAGACCTTACGAAGTAGCAATCTCGATTTGGAATTTGTGGAGAGGGAACTTGAAACTCAGCATATATCTGCCCAACGAAAAAAATTAGTGACACAAAAAGATAGTGTGAATTTTTTTATAAAATTATAGACATCCAAGTGCAACCTATAATGTAAGAAACATTTAATGAATTATTACCATTTTCATTGATCCATTCAAGTTTTCAGTAACTCCTGGTGATAACACATCCATCGTCAACACAATACTTGAGAAAAGATTTGCCCAGTGATTCTGCTGATCACAAAAATATATATGAGTAAAATAACTACCAAGTCAGTGAGTAAATATCAAATACTAAATGATTTTAAAAAGTATATTTAGAAATAAAATGATTGTACCGTATCCATGAAAATCTCCACCAAGTTGATGTGATTCATGATTACAAAAGCACTTTCTCGTGAAGCAGTAGTCTTAATTCCATTACCCCTAGGGAATTCTTTTTCATTGAACACATTTTTTACACCATCAATGTTGGGAAACCAAAGTGGCTCTTCCATTTGACGGAACTCCTACATAGCAGCCCCAACTACATTATCAATATATTCTCTTGAAATACGAACAACCTAATGAAAAAAAATAATTAATTGAGCTTTAGTTCGATATACTAACAACAATGCCAAAAAATATTTTACATAGTTAGATCAATTAAAATGTAAACTAATTCAGCATCAACACATTTAACTTAAAAATTCAAATTGTGACAAAATACGTCAATTCAATGAATATTTTTTTAATTTTTTTTTTGATTACCTCTTCTTGTAGGCGAGCATTTTCGAGCCTCAAATATTGTTCATTATTTAAAGGGCAACAAGGGTAGCAACATTTAAGGCAACCATTGTTGATAGCTTCTCATAGCCATACACATTTAATCCTAAGCTTGTCATTTTCAGCTCGAAGTGATGAGTTCTCATAGCGTTTACCTTCAATATGTAAGGGAGTAATAGTCCGAATCAACAAAATAATAAAAGTTAACACAAAGACTCGCTAGCTAGTGTTAAATTAAATTAATTAGCTAATCAATTGAATTTATAGTAATCATAACTTTCAACAAACTACATTAATTACCATGAATAATGATTCAAAAAATGAATACATATCAATTAACCTTAGGAAATTGACTCAAGTTTGAACACATTTATTAAAATTATAGTCAAAAGTATTCTAACTGCCTCAAATATTTAGATAGATAAGAACAAAAAACTATACCAAGGGTAGAGATTATTGTCTGATTATATACCTTCAAATTAATGTAGATAATAAAAATTACTACCTTCGTTTCAAAATAATTGTGTTTTTATCTTTCGAGTTTATTAAAAGAAGTAGTTTTTCTTTTTCACATAATCAAGAAGACACAAAAAAAATTTCTTCCAGTTTTATCCTAATTGAAATGAATGAAGTTTAACATAATCAAAGAACAATTAAATAGCTATTTCTTCTTAAGACATATTATTAAAAGTTTGTAATTAAAAACACTTTCAACTTTCTAGAAGCGAGTAATTTTATAAGGGTCTGTTGAAACTAAAAACACAAGGTAGAGAGGGAGTATTAGAATTGTATATCTTTATTTGGGTACGCAAATTTTGGAACCAAAATTTGATCTGCAAAAACTCTAACCCTACTTTACCACTGAGCTCCTTCATTTTCTTCTCATCCGGCTTAGGACACTCCTTAAACAATCTTAATTACAAAAATAACAAAAGATTAATACCATAAGCACTTTAGAAAAAAATTATTTAGATTAGATGAGATATTTTACGCTTCCATTTCCTCGATATGTTGCTTGGTGTGACGATGATTGCATATTTTCTTATTTGGATGCTCATCAACATTATCATCTTGTTCATCAAATTTATAGTCATTGTAGTCGGATTTGCTATTTGCTTCGTCATCTGTAAGCAACTGCATTATCTCATCTTCCGATATTGTCATGGACTCTATATCAAGTGGAGTAACCTGGCTCTCCAACATGTTACTTGACTGAAATATACAAATGATAAAATCTTTATAACATATATATTAAAATATCAAAAAAGGACATTCATATAAGGAATTTTAAAATTTTCAGGACTCGAATCTTAACCATCTTAGAACAACCTTCAATGATAACATTAGCGAGATTAGATATCAAACCTCCATAGATGCCTAACACACATAAAAACGTTTTTAGATTTATTTTTTGATTTTACCTGACCAAGTTGGAGTCCAGATGAAGAAAGGATAATCTCACGATCATCTCCGGTCACCAAAGAAGGAACAAACTCATAATCATTTCCGATCACCAAAGAATTCTGATTAGCAAATTAAAAAAACATTGGTTAAATGCAAGGAGATTTGAGCAAGATTAAATGATTAATCAATTTGAAATCAAGTAAAATTCTTTCTCGTTACTTTTCTAGACTATAAATTAGAAACAACATAAAATGCCTAACAAGCATGCATTTGATTCAAGAACATATAAATGGAACATATAAAACTTGAAAAAAAATAATAAGGATAAGAAAAATTTAGAATTTAGAATTTCGACCTAACCAAGCGAGAGTCTAGATGAGGAAGGATCATTTTTTATCGTTGAAGAATTCTTCTTAGCTGAATTCATAATTTCATCCATTGATCACCCAAAACCCTACAATAGTGCAACTTGTTAGTATAAGGAAGACACCTTTTTGACTTGTGTGAGCTCCCATTTTTTACTCTTTTGGTAACTCAAACCAAATTTTAACAAGAAGCTTATATTGTATATCGCTAACCAAAAATTGAGAGCATATAAATATTTAATTTTGTGTTAACAAGCTATTATAGAAGGTGGTAGAGAAAAAAGAGATTACTTTTAAAATCAAGTATGATGGAAGAAACAATAATTTTTTCAGTGAAGTAGTGTGTTTTTTTTCTGCTGCAAAAATGATAGAAAAGAAAGCAAACAAGAGTAGAGATGAAGGATATGGAGAAAAATGAATAACATAGAGAGAGAGAAAGAGAAAGAGAAAGAGAAAGAGAAAGAGAAGACAACTAGTGAGATGAATAAGCAAATGGTGCCATTGCTTTAAATAGAAATAAGAGAGTGTTGTAAGGGAATAATAGTTTGAATCCAAATTAATTATATTCATAATAATCTTGACTCACAACAAACTACATTAATTTCCATGGAAATTAATTTTAAAAAAAGTGAATATGTATTAATTAATAGTAGAAAATTGACCATTTGAGTGTGAATGCATTATTATAATAGTCAAAAGTTTTATAACTGCCTCAATTTTTTTTAACAATTTGAGCTCAGGGCTCTTTTTATTCAACAAAAAAGTAAAAACATATTAAAAACTAAGAAAAGGAAAGTACCCCTTTCTATATCTATCCCTATTCTCCTTGCTCTTCTTAACCTTGTTTCTAAATATGCTTCCTCCTCTTCCTAGCTGCGTCTCCATGAATCTGGCTTTTGTGATTTCTCACTTTCTCCTTTGCCCCCTTTGGGTTATCAATATTCAATCTTGGTTGTGTACAACGATTCAACTTCTGCGGCTTCAAAAGGTAACACTCCTCTTTGTCTTCCTCACTCTTTTATGGGGCTAATCGCTTCTTCTTTGTTAGGTGTGTGTACCGGTTCAGAATTTCAACTCAACTCGCAGAGGAGCTTAGTCAACTGCCTCAATGTCTTTGCCATAAGTATGCCCTCTTTCTTTCTTTTTTGCCTTTTTGTTGGTGTTGCATATTCTGATTTATGATTCCAACAACGGTAGTTGTTTTCGAGCTTCCTCTTTTGTGACATGACATTGGATACTGTGCTTTGGGATTCTGTCTTCCTGTACAAATTTGTCTTGATCAGTGTGAATGTTTTCCATATTGGTTGGCAGTGTCTTTTATCTTTCTTGTTTTGATTCTCAAGTTTGTGATTTGTGCTTTATCCATTTTAAAAATTCTCCTGCACCTTTCTGGTAAATGTTCAAAGAGCTTGTATTCCATTTTTTCCAAATGAATGTATGCACTATTTGCAATTGCATCTACTAGTTGGTTTCCTTCTCTATATACATGTTGGACCTTGATTCTGTTTTGTTCCACTATATGCTTTGCTCAGGGCCGTCTCAACCCCTAGGCCACTAAAGCCATCGCTTGGGGCCCCATAATTTTAAGGGCCCCATTTTTTTTAAAAAAAAATCTTATAAATGTTGTTTCTTAAAAAGAAAACTTATATGTACCATGAGTGCTATGATTTTTACTAAGAAAATTGTATATGATATGAATATAGAACCTGAATTTCGTAAGAAATAATTTGATGAAAATATTAATAACGAAATCACAAAGTCCCTTGAAATTGGAGTTGATTCCTTTATATATAGTAGACCAGACTATTTTTTCCCTTCAAAATAGATTTGAACCAATTGAAGCATATGAACATATTTTTGTTTTTAGTGGTAAATTGAAATCACTAGATGATGAGAACTTTTAAAAAAAAACATTGTTACAACCTTAAACTTGATTTAACACATAATCGTTATTTTGACATTGATGGTTTAGATTTATTTTCTTAATTAAAGTGTTAAGAGAAATAATATAAGTAAAAGACAATGATCTAATGAAAATACTCAATCAAATAAAAAGACTTGATTCTTTTTCAAATATACATATTGCATAGAGAATAATGTTAACAGTCTTGTAACAGTTGCCTCAACCAAAAGAAGTTTTTCAACACTAAGACTGATTAAATCTTCTTTAAGATCAACAATATTGTCTCAAGAGTGATTGAATAGATTAGCTATATTATCAATTGGAAAGGAATTATTAAAACAAATCAATTATAAAACAGTAACTAATGACTTCGCATCTAAAATGGCTAGAAAAGTAGATTTTAAACAAAAGTATATATGATGAAAATAATAAAATATTAGGGGCCCTCTCTTAAGTTTAGCTTTAGGCCCCCAATCTTATTGAGTCGTCTCTGGCCTTGCTTCACCCACTATATCCTGCATCTCCCAAGGTATTTTTCATTCACTAGTTAACATTTTCATAATATCGAGTGAGTCAGTTTCTATGATGACCTGTCTGAACTTGTTCATTATACAATATTTCTGACCTCTTAGTGCCACTGTAGCCTCCACCATGTTATTAGTGGTGATTCCTATTTCTTGTGCCTCTGCAAAGATCAAATCGCTCCTTTCATCCCTTACACAAAAGGAGTAAGTGCCAATTCCTGGATTTCCTTTTGACGATCCATCCGTATTACATTTAATCCAATTAGTGTCTGGCATATTCCAAGTGACAGCTTTATGCAATAGCTTGGGTTTGTAACATTTTAGAAGCTTTACCTCTTCCTCCCATATCACTGGACACTGAATCCAAGGATAGGTTTGTTTTATAAATTGGTTGATTGTATTTTGACACTGTTGAAACAGTTTGTAAAGATTCACCTCCCTGTCATGTCTTCTTGCAGTTCTTCTTTTCCCAAGTTCCCACATAAGAACAACTAGTACTAACTTGAATATCTTTTGTATTTTGACAGGTCCAGTTGCTTTCCACCATGAAATTATAAGTTGCTGTAGATGCACTCCATTTAGCTCAGTACCTGCACAAGAAACAAACTTCTTCCACAACCTTTGAGCTGTGGGAGATGTTTGGAATAAATGCTCCATAGTTTCTTGCTTATACTCCTCACAACAATGATATCCTGATGCAATTTTCAATTTCATTCTCTTTAAATTGTCATTCGTGGAAATTCTCCTCTTCCACACCCTCCAATGAAAGAAACTGATCTTGAAAGGGAGTCCTTTTACCCATATATTCGATAGCCATTCCATTTCCTCTTCTTTTTTCCTCATTATCTTGAAAGATGATTTCACTGTAAACTCTCCCTTTGTATTGCCCATACACCAAGGACAGTCTGCTTCATAGTTAATCACTAGTTTGATGCTCTCAATGATATAATTAGTCATGTCTTCAGTGATAACACTCTGAAGTTTATCTTTATTCCATCCATTATTCCCAATGAAATCCTTAACTTCCAAATCAAACCTTTTTGTGCCTCCATCTTCAATAAAATATAAAGCTACTTGTTGGATCCAATTGTCATACCAAAAGCTACAGTTTCTGCTCTAACTTGCCACCAAAATTCATGTTCCACTTCTTCTGTAACTTGAATCATCATCTTCCAAACATGAGATGCTCCAAGTTCTTTTGCTAGGACTGGATGATCTTTTTTTACAATATTTGTTCCACATGTAAGTTCCCCATAATGAGTTGGTTGTCACTCGAAAGTTCCACCACATCTTGGCAAATAAAGCCTTGGCAACATCATGAAGAGATCTGAAGCCTACTCCACCTTCCTTGAAAGGGTAAAATAGGTCATCCCAGGCCACCTAGTGTTTACCTTTCATTCCTCCTGATTTTCCCCAGAAAAACTTAGCAAACATCTGGTGAATCTTATTGATGATACCCTTAGGAGGGTTTATTGTTGCTAACAAATAGACATGCATAGATACAGTCAAAAACAAGAAATTATATTGTGTGTAGAGATTATTGCTCGACATTATATTTTTAAGGCGAAATGGTCTTGTGGACCCTTATACTTGTATCCGTTTGTATTCTGAACCCTTCTACTTACCCCTTTGTCATTTGGACCCTTAAACTCAATTAAAATGAGACTTTTAAGCCCTTCCAACCATGTGTGTAACTCACTCTCCTTTATATAATTGACATGTCATATCCACGTCAGGTATATTAATGCCACATCATATTTATTTCATAACTATTTTTAAAAATTATTAACCAAAATTATTTAATAAAATGTAAAATAATAACATTTTAATTTATTATTGGCATTTCTAATTCTCCCTATTTTCACTATTTCCCGACCAAAAGAAAGCTATTGCCTGTGTTGTTGCCATTTTTGCCGGCGAAACCACATATACTTCTCCGTCACCCGTCTTCATCTCCGACGCACACCATCACTATTTTTCTTTCCTCCTCCAACCTCCACAGTAACAACAACATAAGCCACCGCACAACCAGATCTGGCCATCGCACAATCAGATCTGGCCAAACTTTTCGTAATCCAACGTCGACTACTATTTTCACACCCCAAATTGCTTACAAACACAATTTCACACCAACCTCTGCCGTGAAACTCGTCGAAATCTACCCAAAATTCGCCTGGGATTTTCTTGGATTATCAAAACCAGTTGAAAAAGACAAGTTTAAGGGATTAGAATGAGACGATTGCTGTGAAAGATCGAAGATGGGGAAGAAAAGGAAGTCTTCATCTAATTTCATAAAGATATTCAACAATTACTTTTCACCATTCAAAACTACCAGATCTTGACACTTTACCCTAGAAAAATGAAAAAAATGACAAATCAAGAACAATGTTGACAACAAAAGAGGTCAAGATTCTCATTAGACATATTTCTTCCGACAACTATGTTTATCCCACCAATTTTCTGAATTTTACTTTGCTGATTATGTTCAATTTTTTGCACAATTTCATTTTAATTTGGGGAAGAGAAACGAAAAGAAATTGTAAAGGAGCGAGGAAAGGGAGAAAGAGAAAAATGGAGGTCTAGGTGGGGAAGAACAGTGGATGGGTTGGGGAAGAAGAAAGAAGTGAAACATTTATTTTTAATTTTGTTTTCTCTTTTTATTCTAATTTTCTTTTTCTTTTAATTATTTTTAATTTAAATTCTTATGTCTACGCTCCTTTTGCGCGTGGAATCACGTATTTATTCCAGCTCATTAATCAAGTTGCCACATAAGCCTGATCAACCGTCAGAGGGATTTAAAATGTTAAGTTTCATTGAGTTTAAGGGTCCAGATGACAAAGGGATAAGTAGAAGGATTCAGAATACAAACTGATACAAGTATAAGGGTCCACCAGATCATTTCGCCTATTTTTAATTAATGCAGATAATAAAAATTACTACCTCTGTTTCAAAATAAGTTGTTTTTATCTTTTTAATTTGTTTTAAGATATGTAGTCTTTCACAAATCAATAAGAAATTAAATTTTTTCTTCCTGATTTATCCTTATTAGAATAAATAAAGTAAAATTTTATGTAAACAAAAAACCGTTAAAGAGATACTTCTTTTTAAGACATTTGATTAAAAATTTGTAACGAAGAACACTTTTTGCTTTATTAGAGTAATAGTTTACTTACGGGGTCTTCTCAAACTAAAAACATCACGCATTGTTAAATGGAGGAAATACTAGTATTATATACCTTTATTTGAGTAAATTTACGAAGACTCTAACTCTAATTTACCATTGAGCTCCTTCCTTTTCTTCTCATCCGGTTGAGGACACTCCTTAAACAAACTTAATCACAAAAATAACAAAAAGTTAATACCATAATACTATGGAAAAAAGTGTTTAGATAGGATGATATATTTTACGCTTCCATTTCCTCATTCTTTCGGTTGGTGTGACGATGATTGTGCATTCTCTTATAGGATGCTCATCAGTATTATCATCTTGTTTATCCATGTAATGACCCGATAGGTCATTTTTGGAAATTTAAGTAAAATTACCATTACCCCTTCCGATATCGACCTCGAGTCATTTTCGAATGAGTTTTATAGTTTGTTTTGAGCTCTAAGTAAAAAGTCATGAAATTATGAGAGTTTTTGGTTTCAAAGGCTAAAGTTGTTAAAAAGTGGGTTTTGGTGTCTTTTCGAGTTTCG